GAAATTCAAAAGATTTCCATGCACCAAAGCCGAGGAAGTTAAACTGATATGAAATTACATGAAGATGAGCACAGTGTTACATCAATCAGCGACGTTGGGAACAACATTTACGTCGGCTCTCACAAAAGAAATGTCAAAACCATGATCGTAAACAGCAGCAATTCACTCTCAAGTGGCGAATCTGGCGAACGCGCCAATGTCGCGCGTTCATATTTGGCCACCATACAGATCAACAACAAGTACATTGAATCAAATCTAAATGTTACCTAAATGTTCTGCATTTGGAAAAAAAGATGATGTTGCCCAGATAGAAAAAATTCCTGCATGTTCGGAGAATCGGGTTTCAGAAAAAGCTCTCCTAGAGTTTATCTGTTTATAAGGTTTTGATATTACCCTATAAAAATCCTTCTTACAATCTCTCTCGTCCTTGGAAAAAATAAAGGCAAGCTACAGTCATGCTCGCTAGATCTTCCGCACCAAGAGAAACTCAAACACCAGTGACAGCTATTTATATGATACCTAAGCGACTTCCGTCTCAGAACTCAAAGGTACAAAATGCAAACTTGTATCACAAATTTCAATTCGTTCATTCTAACTTAAGGTCCACGGCGAACTTCCATTTCGCTTGATGAAGCAGTCTAGAGAGAAAAAAAATCGAATGAGAAACTGGTAAAGATACACCGAATGTGGAGGTTTCGAAAAGGGCAAACACAAATGAATAACACATAATGCGCGCGGGGGGTGCAAAAATCTATTGAGTTCAGCTTACCTCAAGCTCAAGTGTTCTACATCTCTTCGAGAAATAAATTCATCCTTGTAAAAACAACAAATCTTTCGCTTTCTCCTTTTATGCCCAGCTGTACTCCAATTTAGTGCCACAATTATTCCGATCTCCTCCTGATCCGGCCTAACAACGGAAACAACTACGCCGGGCCCAAATTTCCACATGGCGATTCGGCATGTTGAGGACAGCAGCAAACCAAGTTGAAGAGCATTTTGACGACCACTCCGATGATAAAATACAGTAAATTTGAGATAAATATTCAATAAAGAAAAAATGCAGATTTTTAACGAAGAAATTGACGAGATTTCTTCAGGTAAAAGACAAATTTCCTAACATCTCAAGTGTCAGATCTAAGATGGGGTCACAACAAGGTCGCGCATGTGTTGCACGTTTTCCGCTCTAACTTTTGATTGGCACATAGAACAATGCTGAAACTTGGCAGTGAGGTATAAGACAGGGGAATGGGGAAAATAAAGCTAAAAAAAGTTGTTTTTGTCACGTTTCTCACTGTTTTTTTTGGCGATTTTTGGATTTCGGCCAATCAGAACGCTTGATTTAATTGAAATTAATGATTAAAAGTTAGCACCTTTTAATGACTTTTGCCGTTCGCCTGCCTACCTCTTACACGGACCATTACTTAATCCCCAAAAAATCCCATGCGGAATTTCCCAGCCATTAAAATTTCCAGAGAACATGAAATGATTATTATATCTATCACAACTCTTCATATTTTTGTGAATACCCCAAAAAATAATCTCTACAATACTTCAATCAAGCTGCCCAAAGAAATAATTGCCAAAATTTTCCTTATTACCTTGACTAGTAAAAAGATCAAAATAAATGGAACTCTTGTAAAGAGGTTTTTTGTGTTATAGTTGATGATCAAATGGGTAGGTCAATCAGATTATTCAGCTGACTCCCAACACCACCCACCCAGCTGGAGGGGGCTGGGAATGGCCACTTCTACAAGATGCCATATCAAAGGGGGTCAAAATCTGATAACAGATTACAGTATTATGCAAAGCCAAGAGGCTCTTGGACTCATTGTAGAACATCCCTCCCCCCGGCAGGGCAGGGGGGGTACTCTGGATGTCAAGTGACAGGGAACAGGGATGATCGAAGGACTTTTTTGGCTTTGAAATTGTCAATTTCAGAGTATTTTGGGACAAATGTTTTGAGTGGTATGACCCAAAAGTGGTTGTAGTGTATAGAATTTGGAGGGTAGTGAGTTCGATTCTGGCCTGGAGCTCAGAATTTTTCTGTACTTTTGGATGATAAGTGGTTTTCACTTTCTGTTTTAATTAAAAGACCAAGTTTTTGATATTGTTGATTTGCCAACCAAAATTTTTTTTTCCCGCAATAATTGTTTTAACTTTTTCCATAATCGATTATTGTGTCACAATACAGTCAGACAGCAATTTATTGATGATTGGAACACCACTACTCTAAGGCTTTCACCATAGATTTCACTTGGAAAGGTGTACCCTAGTGTTTTTAGGATATCTTTTGAGCCAAAAAAGTAAAAAACTAAGTTAGATCTTAAGTTGATTATTGTTTTAGGGCTTTTTTATTCTAAGTCTGCAATGAGTTCTAACTTGAATTTTATATCTGTTTTGATGTCCATAAGGTATACATTGCAGAGATTTCGCCAGCAAGGTTACGTGGTATGCTGGGTTCTGTTAACCAGTTAGCAGTCACAGCAGGCCTTCTATTGTCATATGTAATGGGTGTTGTGTGTCACTGGAAATGGCTGGCTCTCATTGGTGCTATTTCTCCTGCCCTGCTTGTTGTTCTTATGTTTACCATGCCAGAGACGCCACGCTGGACCTTAGGGAAGAACAGACGGAGTGATGCACTAAAATTTCTGCTTTGGTTACGGGGCCCTGATGTTGACATTGAAGAAGAATGCTTTGCAATTGAAGCTACTTTAGGTAGATCAAATAAAATATTTTCTCTATTTTATATAATAAATTATTAGTTTCTGTTTTCATTTAAGGAGGGCAACCCCAGTTTATGACAGATAATTGAATTGTTTTCTTTTCTTTTAATTTTTTTTACACCCAGCAGTAAGCTGTTTTATCATCATCATGGTCATAATATTGAAGTAAACAGCAAAATTTCAACCCTTTGTAATTTCATTATAGATATTTTTGATTATTTGTGGCAATTATTTTAAACATTACTTTCTTTCAGAGTGGCTGTAATCTACCAGTTGTTGTTTCTTTTTTGGAAGTTTTACATCTTTCATCCAATTACTTTGATGGTTGTTAGAATTAATTCTTGTTTGCTTCACAGATTGTCAGGAGAAACCCTCATTACGTGAATGGTTGTCACCTGTTATAGCAAAACCTTTGATCATCAGCATTGGATTAATGTTTTTCCAACAGTTCTGTGGCGTTAATGCAGTTCTCTTCAATGCTGCGAGTATTTTTAGTCAGGCTGGATTTAAAGATGGCAAACTCGTTTCCATTGCACTTGGCTTGGTCCAGTTCGTTGGCACTGGTTTAGCATGTTTGGTCATGGACAGAGCAGGACGACGAATCCTGCTGTTAATCATGGCAATAGGCATGTCAGTCACTCTTGTGGGCCTTGGCTTTTATTTTGAAGTCTATATTCCTCCAAAAAATGAAACCTCCTCGGCTGATGCCGTGTCTCTGGTTGGTTCCATAAACCACTCTGTAGAAGCATCAAAGATCAGCTGGCTGTCCATATTGTGTTTAGTTTTGTTTAACCTCTTTTTTGCCCTAGCTTGGGGTCCAGTTCCATGGCTTGTCATGTCAGAAATATTTCCCCTTCGAGCTCGTGGCCCAGCTACAAGTATTGCCACCATGGCCAACTGGCTACTTGCTTTTTTGGTCACCAAAATGTATGATCCCATGGTTGCATCTCTGACCATCCAAGGAACATATTGGTTTTTTGGAGGGTGCTCTTTCGTAGGATTTATATTTGTGTACTTCCTCATGCCAGAGACAAAAGGAAAAACATTAGAAGAGATTGAAGTTTTGTTTGACAAAGGCAGACATTCTTATCAGCGGATTGATTGAAGTCATCAGGAAGACTTTAATATTTCTTTCCAGGTCTAGCCTCCCATGCACAAAATTGCTTAATTTAAGGAAACTTTCTCTCATATTTTCTTGTCAATTCGTTGTACAAAAGCAAACATTCAGTAAACTTTCATCAGGGGATCGACTGTGGTGACCTGTGCACGTTGCAAAGTGCTGTTTACTTGCAGACAAAATTGCCTAGGAATAATTATTTATTTCTTCTATTGTTTGTCAAAATTATATTATTGCGGACGCATATAATTAAGGTGAAAAGAACAGTAGTCTGAAACAAAATTGCCTAGTAGGAATATTTATTTCTTGTAGTGTTTGTCAAATAATTACTGAACAACGCATCTTCAGTGGAAAATACAGGTGGGAGTCTTCATCTCAGTGGTCAAAACTTGAAGAGTTAATCACTCCATAAGACTCAAAAGTTGGAACTGTAAAAGTTGTATCACAATAGGGATTACTTTATCAAAATAATGTACAACAAGACAGGGTTGTCGCTAAGTTTGCAAGTTGCTGAGTAAATACAACAAGTAGGCAGGGAATCAAACAGCTAGAGGTTTCTTTTGGTTCTATTATTCCTCTATTTTCCAATGAAAGTAACCGGGGGCCACATTTATCGCATTCCTTGACCCGTCGAGCTCTTAACGACAGCCCTGTGAGTTTTGCTTTACCATGTGGTTTTTTGACTTGATGAAACATGAATTGCTTGTTTGTTTGAGATCTGTTAAGAATAATAATTAAAAAAACTCACTGAACATAAAAAATATTTTGTATATCTCATTGTTTTGCTATTTTCTTAGTGTTTTTTTAAAGGTGGAGCGTTTTAATGCCCTCCCTCTCCCCACCCTGTAAAATTCCAGTGAAAAAGATGAAAAATAAATTATTACGTACTTTGCACGCAAACAAATATTATATGCAGCGTGCAAAGAAAGTCGTGTCCGACAGCCCGGGGCTAGTGGATTTTGCTTTCGGGCTAGTGAATTCTGTTCTTAACTTGTCCGACGGGCAAGTGAATTTATTGGGGAAAGTCAAATTACAGAAGGATGGTAATCAATCCTGCTAGTTGAAATGACGTGTGGGCTAGTACTTGCTAGCTACAGCTTGCCCGAATGGCAGGCTGTAAAACTGACTTTCTTTGCACCCTGATATGTAAACCTATAAAGAAACTTGTGAAAAAATGACTGAAATAGATAGTTCATATGACTAAAGCATAACAAAAAACCAGTGGACCAGCTTAAATTATGAAAACACATCATAATTATAATAATTACGTTTTCATTCAGATTTTATGACATATTTATTCTTTACAAAGTTATTCAAACTAGTAGCTTCTTTGTAGAAAAACTAGTTGACGCCTCTAAGCAGCGCAGCCAACATGTTTTGTCAGCTGTCAGTGCTTATTGAAACCTCTAATGCTTTTATCTTTCAGAAGTTAGAGTGGCCATAATTTGGAAAAATGTATGAAAATAATAAGCTAATATCAATGATGTAATTTTGCAACCAAGCAAAGGAATTACTATATAACTATTAAGGAAATTATTTATTATAATAGACTTCCCCCAAAAAAAGAATGCGAAACTTCATTTTGTAAAAAATTAATGTTAACAAAGATATTATCGTGAAGATACCGCTGAAGAGGATTCATTTCAACTTGGATACACAACAGGGTCTAGACCTACAGAATAGAGTCAAAAGCTAACACCACCTAGTGAAAAACAAGACTCCATCATTCACTTTGGAAGAAGAAAGAAGAAGACTTCCCAAGGACAAGTTTGCATATTTTCTTATAAGAACTGAAATCACCAGATGGCAACAGCTGTATATATTCAATACAATAAATTATTATATCATGCTTGTTTTTATAAAATAATTAAGTTTATTTAGCATTGACAACTTGTTCCAGCTCTTTTTCCACTTGACGCAAGAACCGGTTGTTCATAAACAGCAGCTGAAAAGGAGAAAACAAAAGCAATTAAAAAAACTTCTAAACTACTTTCTTAAATATTTTAACAGAAAAAAAAATGTCTGTAGGCTTGCACATAAACACTCCCAATGAAAGTGTCAACCTCAACAACAACTAAATGCATGAGAGTTACCAATGATAAATAAAAGGATAGCAACTGAAACTATAGCCTGTGAAAACAGCCAACATTTGGCGACGCTACAACTGGTTTCCAGGCCAAATGACGTCTGAGAAACGAGAAAGAGTGCGGACCTTTTCTTTCACTATAATTATTAATAATTTACATTTTAACGAACAAGCTTGCTCAGTCCAGATTGTTAGAAATTGACCTCATTCTTTCCCTGTGTTTTATGAACTCTTTGACTATCTTTATGATGAATAATGCATCAAATACTGTGATATCTCTCATTAGCCCCTCCCCCCCAACATTACCAGTACCACATCTCTTTTCCACTTTCCTCTTATATTAAACAGTTTTCAAGCCCCCTTTGCTTCTGTAATAAGCATTAATTTTATATTCCCTATAATAGTCATATTTTATGACTGTTACACTTAACAGTCAAGAAACATGAACAAAACTCTTATTGAAAACAAATAAGTATGATTATCTGAATGTCAACTCAAAGTTTTGGTGTAAGATAGGTGACTGATTAATGAGTTTGCAACTGTTACAGTATATGTAATAAAATGAAATACATAGAGTTGGTGCTCCAGTTTTTAACATGTTGCCCCTTCTCTAACCATAATAATACCCCGTCTCCAATAACTCCTCCCCACAACTAGCCTGCGGGACAGACAATTTTAAACTAAACTCTGGTTAAGTCCGTCTGCAACAGCGCCAAAATCCTTGTTCTAGGCTACCATCTGTATATCAGGATTTGAGTACACCCCATGATTGGCCTGTTAAATAAGCCATTGTTGATTGGGCAATGAAGTTGAAATGAAGGTCGAAACGCATTTATGGTAATTTGTTCACTCTGTTGGGGGCCTGGAACAAAGATTTTGGTGCTGCTTCATTGTCATTACTAGCCAGGGTTAAATTACATCTGCGACGATCTCACAACTGGTTAGAAAATAAGCCCCATGTACCCCTCTCCTAGCTAGGGGCTCATAACAGAGATTACAGTGTTTACCTGGCCTTCTGGAAGAAGCTGATGCATTACAGCAGTGACCTTGTCTGCCTTAAGAATGGCCTACAAATTAAAATCATTACCATCTGTTGAAGTCGGTTGCATCTAAGCATGGAAAAGAGACAAAATAATGATTAAAAAAACATTTTCTTTGGAGTTTTACAAGTCCAGCAATTCTGCGTAACGTCTAAAAATTCTTGGATGAATATTTTGTTTGTTGTGTGAAAACAATCAAGCAGACAGACAGCCACCTACTTTGCACGAGATCATTATTTTGTCTAGAATGCCACCCCAAACTTCTCATTTTTAATGGTAAAACATGTCATGTTTGCACCCAATTAGAACCTGTTTTTTTTGCCACATGTACACACTTAGATGCAACCAATGGTACTTATAACTAAAGACAAAATTGTAATACTAAACTACATACCCTTTTATCTTGACTAAAATCCTGAATACAGAGGGTTCAAATCCTATTGAGGGCACTGTGTGTTCCTACTTTTCACATAAATGGCTAATTTTTCCGCAATGATTGATTGAATATTTTCTATAACTAATTATATCGCGGTCCCGGGGGGGGGACTCCCATATGAAACAGACGGGGATGCTTGTCGTCTTGCTTAGGGGTGTAAATTTTGGATTTTGGTCTCACTTAGGGTGTTGCGGGAAAAGCGCCAATATTTTAAGCCAATTAGGGTTCCGCGAAGAACTTGGCATTTATGGCAATGCCTTTTAGATAAAAGCATTCGATGATTATGTCTTTATATCATTAAAACTCATTGCATGTCGTATTTGTGTGTTTTTAAGCGGTCCCTTTTAGGGGTCAAAATTTGCTTAAGCCAGGCCCAGATTGGTCTCCTTTAGGGGTCACAAAAAGCTTGAGCCATGCCCAGATGGTCTCCTTTAGGGGTTAAATTCAAAATTTCCGACGAGCATCCCCATCTGTTTCATATGGGAGTCCCCCCCCCGGGATCGCGGTGCTTTAAGGTTTTTAATCATTTGTTCAATAAAAATTAAAAATTATTATTAATAAGATCAATGATAGGCACCCCCACTAGTTGTAATAATCAAATATTTTAACCTTGATACAGTCAAAACTGTATTACCCAAATACGTTGGGGAATGGATTACTGACTACTTAATAAAGCTTAATGAAAAACCTTTGAGTAACAGTATTAAAAAATTTTTGAAAAATGAAGCTGTTGAAAGAGTGAAATATGTGTCCCATGACATTGTCCTCAGACTGTTTCTAGCCCTTCAAGTGCCAAAAGAAGGGAAGTAAAAAAAAATGATCAACTTAGGTTTCTGGGAAACTGCCCACCTACCCCTCCCCTATGCCATCATTATCACTTACTACTCACTTAGGGCAAAATGTTGGCTTAGGGGAGGGGTAGGTGGGCAGTTTCCCCAGAAACCCAAAGAATCTGTTGCAGGAGCATATGGTACATTTCGTCAAGGTGACCATTTAATAGAGGTGATTAACAGTCAGACTAAAAAAATAACTTGTTGGCACCTCTGAAAACTAAGGTGACCACAAACACTTAATAGACTGAGGTGACATTTAGGTGAATAATTTGGTAGTAATCAAGGGAAGCTATTTCTAGGACTTTGGTAAGTGACCACTTAATAAAGGGTGACCATGTATTAAAATACAGGTGGTTCGACTGTATTATTATGATAATCATGATATTGCAAGTTGAAAGTCACTTAAGACATAGCCATCCATTCCAGGCATTCAGATATAGTCATTTTTCCCGTGTACGATTTAACTCACTCCCCAACATCTGAATGCCTGAGGCAGGGTACTTGAGGCATATATTACGTGTAAAACTTGGACAAAAAATAATGTACCTCTGAAGGCTGTAGAAGTATTTGGCAATATTCTTGAAGATGTCTGATTATGAGATTCAGAACATTCTCTGCAACAAGGCGGTTTTCATCCTTTTCACAAATTAAAGTGAATCCACAGCTGGAAAAGACAGGTAAAATAATTGAGCTGACCACCATAGCCATTAATATTAATAATTAAAAAGAATAATTTTATTCACTCTGTGTAAAACAAAACATTAAAAAAATTATTAATTAATATGAAGTTATATGAAATTTAACACAAATAGCAACATTAAGGAGCACAGCTGTCACATGTTGTCAGTTAGCCGTCAGTGTGGTGGCTCAGCTCCATGAGCTTAATACAGCATTTCTTGGTGGCCACTCTAGTTCTTTGTTTACCAGCCTCTGGATCATTCATTTACCTGCCCATCCCTCCCACTTTTTATTTTTCCACTTAAGAATAAATTAGCATGACAGGTACCTGGTCCCATTGGTATGGAGACTCATCACTCAAGCAGGACAAAAAACTTTCTTTTCACTTTACGAGTCCACCAGACAATTACTTTGCAGATTCTGGTTGTCCGAACATAAAATCCACTTGTCGAAAGAGAAAGTGAGTGTAATTCTTTACAGTACTGTCATGCATTGTCATCAGACTCCATAACTATTAATTATTAACAGGAAGGGGTGGCAGTTTTGTCTTCGGCTGCTTATCATTAGCTGTTTGGGCACTGCTTGAGTGTGTTGAAGTTGCTGTTGAGGTGATGTAGTGTTTCTGCTCAAGATAAATTTTACTCGTCCAGCTGGACAAGTGCTTTATGAGTTTCAGTTGTCTGAGTACAAAACCTACTCATCTCAGACGAGCGAACAAGTGAAAGTTTATTGCCCTGTGAAGGCTTCAAAGCACTGTGGCATAACTCTGTCTTGGGGCTAGCTGGCAAAAGTGGAAGCCCCTAGACATCCCAGGCACCCACATCTTTCTAAGGAACACAGTTATTAAACAATAAAATTGCATTTTTAAAAGAACAAAGACTGAGTGGAATAATTTTTATGATTTATGATGCCAAAGGCATCTTTACAAACTTCAGGGGTTAGTTTTTTTGTAGATTGGGCCATAGGTGGGGCAAAGGGACAAAGGATAGGTAAAAATGGCAGCCTTTATAACAGACTCTCAACGTCAGATAACACTCTCTGAGATCTCCATAATTCTTTGAATGATAAATTATGAAAGCCGGATTCAATAATTGTTTTAATTATTCATTCAAAATAATTCTAGTATGAAAACAAGCTAAAACATGCTTACCTCCATCAATGTTCAAAGTTCATCTTTGATAGAGCATGTTAATTGGCAAGTTTAGGAGATAAAGCGTTGTTCAGCTCTACAAATATTCTCCAGTAGCAGATGTCACCCATCGAGTTGTCTTATTGCTGTTCTTGCTACGTTTTTAGCAAATAGCTTGCCTATTTATTCCTTGTGAAACGAATCAAATGTTCTGTCATTTTTTTACTCACTACCCAAAACAACTAGACCTCATCCCCAGGTCTTCTAGGTTAAAACTTCAATAATCTGGCAATTTTCTGCAGCACCATTGACATCATTTTGCACATATCACAATTAAATTCTTCCAAATTTGGTTGACAAATTATAGTTATGGTTATGATGAATTATGCGTGGGATTTTAGCCAATCAGAAACCGAGAAATATTTTGAATGAATAATAATGCTTCTTTTGCAACATAATGTGGCAACTTTTCTTAATTTCCTAATACTTTTCAAAGGCACATTCAATCAGAACTTAGAAGGCATGTGACTATAAAGAAACGTCGATTTAATACATTATTACCTCCCCTCCTCCAACCTACCCCAACCAACCCCTTTGACCAAGGCAAAGCAAGATATCAAGGTATTCTGGGAAAGCAACAAATTCTGTACAACCTGTAAATCCCCCAGATACTACACTTTCAAAGAGAATTAAACTGCTTCTACTTACTTTGCCAGTCCCTTCCACAGAGCTATTCTTTCCACTGCAAATGGAGTTCCTTGTGAGAGTCTACTTAGGGAGAGAAAATAATACCAGTTGAATAAAAAATAGTTTAACAATGATTCATTCAAAATACTTGAACTCCATTTTTGATTGGCTAAAAAAACTCTCAGCTACTTCTATATATTCATTACTATAATAATAATAATAATAATAATAATAATAATAATAATAATAATAATAATAATAATAATTATTATTATTATTATTATTATTATTATTATTATTATTATTATTATTATAGCTCTCTCTGATACTTTCTTGATGTTTTCTATAATCCCCTTCTTTACTGTTGTACCAAGTGCACCAACAATAATTATTACCACAGGGATCACTTTGGTTTTCATCCGCCACATTCTCTGTATTTCCAGTTCTAGGTCTTTGTACTTGCTTTTCTTTTGGATTGATACGCCAATACGTTTCTGTCGCATCTTTCTTTGGTGGTTTTTCAACTAGCATCTGTTCTTATTGAGGATTTACATCAACCATGCAATCAGGGACCAGTAATAGAAAAATATTATGAATGACAACAAAGATAGCAGAAATAAGAGAAAATGCTTACCTGAAAAAACCTGTTTTCAAATTTGACAGAAGTCTGTGAAAAATACAAACTAAACATAAGTCATCACATTGGACAGGAAATTTAGAGTTCTAACTCGGTCAGCTATATAACTTTTACAGGGGATGGGCCCAGATTATTGCTAACGAAATGTATAGATAACCAGAAAACCTCTGTATTTTCTTAGCAACATTTGGGGGTCTTGAATAACTCTATCTTGTTCAATAATTATTGACCTGATTAACATCAAACTTGAGGATTTTGTAAAGCATGCTGTCGTGTTCTTTCTGACTATGTGGGTCTTGCATTCATATTCCCATAATACAAGGACTTCATATAATTGTCATATATAATAATGGTAAATGTAATACATTAGCTCCCTAAAACATTATATGATAATGTACAAAATTTTCATTGACAAACTCATAGACAGTCAGATCCACAACATTCTGTGTAATGTCCATTGCACAACATTTGTTCACAAGACATTAATTTTTAGAAACTAAACCAGATAGGACAGACTTAAAGAAAGTTTCTCTCGACTATTACATTGCTTTGAAACAAAAAAAATTGAGCATCTGCCAATGAAAAACTACACAGTCCTATGAATTTGACTAAGCCTTGTTTTAGTGTTGTAATGTTCTTAACACCTCTTTCAATCAAAATAATATGTGGCTAAAATGATTTCTCTAAAGTAGATAAAATCTTTTTTTACTCAGGCTCAAATGGCTGAAAATACAACACTTAAAGGACACTTAAAGTGGAATATGGTTGACCTGCAGTAGAAAATAACCGTCCGCATAATCTGTGCAGGGCAGGAATTCAAAGATTAATATTTTTGCGTAAGTGTATAAATAAATGTTCATAATTATTTTAAAAAGACATTATTCATGATACCCGTCATCTCAGCTTTGAACACACTTAAGGAGTGATGGTATAAAAGCAATGTCAGGACAAGGTTTCTCAGGGGGTCAGTAAGTGAGAAAATCTGTTGATAAAAGAGCCATAAGCCATATAGGTATGTGCTGCCCCAAAGGGTGTGGTTTTTGAGCCTTTTTGGCAGAAAAACAGGTATACACTTTGCCCATTTTGGTCTGGAATCGGGTATGGTTTTTGAGGGAACTACGGGAATGTATGCTTGCAGAACATCGTTTCAAAAATGAATAAGAATGAAATAGAAAGTAATATACAAATACAAAACGCATTTGAAGAATTTTTTGTTTGCACTCTAATTTAAGTAATGATGACACAATTTCTGCCTAAAGGCCGGGTCTGAAAACGGGTGTGGAAAATGAAATTTTTTGGTCTGAAAAAGGGTCAGGATTTGGAGAGCTCGGTGGCACACCCTCACTAAGAATTCCCACCATAGAGCCTTCAATAGGTCAGTGGTTAGAGTGTCTGAACTAGAACTCAGAGGGTTGTGAGTTTGATTCTACCCTGGAGCTCGGAATCTTTTCTGAGCTTTCTGGTATCAGAATTCTCCTTCTTCCAAAATATAAGTGACAATTTATTATTATTATTATTATTATTATTATTATTATTATTATTATTATTATTCAGGGTTTTCATTAGGCTTTGGAGATCGAAGAATTCTCCATTTCCTATAGTACACATAATTCTCCAGCAAAGGTCTGGTAGCCTTCTATTCAGACGTAGAGCCTCTTTCAAAATATTCTCCAGTGTGACAGTACAGTAGAAACCCGCATACAAGAACATGTGGATTAAGAACACCCAGCTGAAATTTGGTAAAAAAGGAGCATGTATATAAGAACACATTCAGCCTGAAAATTGAAAATTGTTCTTATATATAAAAACTCTTCCCTTTTCAGTTTAATAGAACAGTGTCTGTAGCTCGGTTGTGCAATTTATTTTCTAATGTTGTGTGTCTCAAGTTTAATTTTCTCTCAAAGTTATGTATTTCATCATAGTTGGCAAATCCCTTACATTTTTTTAGAATTAAAAAATTAGGAACACTTAAGAACACTTTCACGCTGATTTCACCTAAAATACCCGATATATAAGAACCCAATCAGCCTGAAACCCGAGAATGGGTGTTCTTGTATGCGGGTTTTTAATGTACACCTTTCTCCTGCTACTAGAATTCTTAATGAAAACCCTGATTATTATTATTATTATTATTATTATTATTATTATTATTATTATTATTATTATTATTATTACATACTCATCTGTTGAAGCTAACCCAGACAGATCTTCATGGCTTGTACCACCCAACGCCACATACCGAAATGAATACTCAGACTGTACACGCTGCGCAACTTGTAACAACTGCTCTTTTCTGCTTTCACGTTCATCCTGAATGATAACTCCATCAGGCTGAAATGAAACAGTTATAATAACAAGATATCCTTTTAATTTACCCAGTGTCCATTTTTATCCATACCTATGCTGCTCTCTACAAGTTGCCCATGGCAGTACCTGTACCACCATCCCTTAATGCAAAAAATTACCTGCACTAATACTAATGAATTCATGCAACTTTGACAGGTGATTTTTATGTTAAGTCAATCAACTCAGATTATCTATCCCAGATAGAGGGCAAAATTTGTCTCCTATGTACATGTATATCTCATTTTAAAAAAGACCTGGACTTTTTCTGTCAACAGACTAAGATTTCATGCTCAAACTTTCCCAAAGTGGCAGAAAGTAGTTTGGGGGCTAGTTAAAGTGACTTATGGGCTAGTACATGCTAGCTACTACTGGCATGGCCCGAATGGCAGGCTGTAAAACTGACTTTCTTTGCACCCTGGAACGTGAAGTAAATAATGCCTTCCTTTCTGTGGTCACGCAAGAGTGCCATGGGAGTGAAAGGGTGAATAAACATCTTGATCTAAACAAGTTACTAAGAAAAGCCAATATTTCCACAGACTATGGATACTCTCAAAAGTTGCTCATTCCAACAGTAAAACGACCAACGTTCTGTGAGAGAATTTACATACCAGAGAATCATGTGTAAATACCGAAGAATATAATATTCTGCATGGACCAGGAGCAAGAGAATGGATCAGGAAAGCATATACCATCTCCTATTATTTGTTATTTCGTTCCGAGCTGGGTGGCCGCGTGATTTGATGAAACACCAAGGAATGGACCGACTTATGCACAGAGTAACCAATTTGGGTCTCCAGTAAGTTCGTCACAGGCCGACCACTGTAGAGTTAGTAGTTATCGTGACTTAACTAGCAACGTACCTTATGAATTTTGACTTCTGCGTTGAGGCCGTTTTAAGTCGCTTATGAGACTTACAGAGCCGTCTCTCACAGGACGCAGAGGAGTGGCCCAGAGGAGTTATTTGTGAGCTTACAGTTGATAGCGCCAATCGTACTGTTTACTGTAGAGCCGAATATGAACTTGAATTGACTGATCAAACCGTCATGCGATCGTATTACAAACATCCAATGCTCGGTGGGAACGATCGTCGCCCGAAGGGCGACGCATTTGGAAAGCGATTTCAACTCTCCGAGCGAGGCACGATGTGCCGAGAAGAAAAAGAGACAAGCCAACCTAAGCGAGAAGATTCTGGGGACGAGGCGTGAGAGACAAGCTTCTTTAATGACTGGGCTGGCCCAGTTTATAAAATACCTTCTATTCTTTCTCCGTGTTGGGGGGGGGGGGGGGG